ATGGATAGGTGTTCACTCAGCTCAAGAACGAGGGGCTCTCAAGTAGAGTTATGGAGAACAGGATCAATAGCAAACTGTTTTCTTCTTTTAAATGGTGGTAGACTTATGGGACTTGCCACCAAAAGTCAGTGCAGATGATGGTCAAATACTTGAGAGAAAGATCTATGGAAAGCTACTACTTAAAGGAGTCATGTCAAGCTTGTGTGACTCACGAGCTGAAAATAGTCAGAGTGTGCGAAAGCCCCCAGAGGAAGCGTACTTGCCCTGGTCTTGTTCTTCCTGGGACAGCTGCTTTTGATCTCTGCTGTAGGAAGAGAGCTGGGCTGGGTGGACCTTTGGTCTGCATGGTGGACCCATTTAGTTGGGAATGCAGGCAGCTACGTGACACGCTAACCTGAGGAACTGAACGACACCCAAGCTGGCTTTAAATGAGCTACCTCAGATGCCAGTAGCAGCCTGTCCTCTGCCTGCACGGAGAGCTCATCCTCTCAGTGGCATCAATTAGCCTGTGCTGAGTTTCTTGCTGTCATCACTGGGGTGTACTAGTACTAAGTTAGCTTATATATAAGTATTGCTGTGCTACACTACTATTTGCTGTGTGGCCATAACCACTGTCTAAGTGGGCATGATGGTGCATTGATCACTTCAGGGGGAATCTACAAATATGAAGTTGCTAAACACATGAAAGAAAAAATAAAGCTTTCCAGCTACTTTCCATTTTATATTTATTTATTTCCCAGGTCTAACAATTTTTCTGAGTGTCAGCTCTAGTACACTTGAGGTCTAAAAATCATTAATATGGTTTGGTTTATGGCATTTTATTTGGGGATTTTCTGGTTTGTGCATCATTATCAGCAATAGTAAAGACATGCAGCCAGGACTGGTGCTGTACAAAGAATAACTCCAGTGTATTCTCTTTTAACTGTGATGGCTTTGAAGATCTAATAGCATTGAAAATTAGTAAATTGCTATTTTTATCACTAAAGTCAGCAGTTCTGACTCAGGGTGTCCAACAACAGAATTACCTTTAAATAACAGAATTTAAGATAGTGATGATATTTTTTTAACCACACATTAAAAAGTAATTGTGTATTATAGAAATGAAAATATTCGTGTCATTTTAAAGTGATGATGAAGAATGTTACTAAGTGCTAATGCAGATTAATATTTTATTGCCCTCTCTAATCATGTGATTCTCAGGATTTCCAGTTGGGGGCACTGGGCAAACATAGAAACAGGGCAATGCCAGCATGAGCGAGACTGGTACCTAGTCCTATGTTCTGCTGAAGGGGGTGAGGGGGATCAAACAAGAACAGTGGATGTGAGATACAGTTGTCTTCTGGATTTAGGAATGTTTTTAAGGTGAAGTAGATGTAGTTTTCAAAACCCTTTTGCTGTTAAGAAAAACTGTACAGTTTTGCTTTCACTACCCATAAACCGTGCAGTTTCTTTGCAAAACTAAGAATCTTCAATTTTTAAAACCATCCGTTTGATCAATAACTTCAAATTCTAATGGGCCTACATAGAAAAGTTGTTGCAATTAAAACTGGTTACTGTTAGTTTCATTAAGTGTTTCCAGCCTAGCATAAATAATTGGTTCTATCTGCCTTCAGTAAGTGCTACTTATTCATTTACATCAAAGGAAGAGCTAGAAAAAAGTAGGTGATGCTCCTTATCAATGTACAGCATAAAGCCTGGTATGCTTTAAGGTCTGCCTGGGCCTGTACACATAGAGATTTAGCATCTAAAATGACCCAAGGAGGAGATATGGCAGGCTATTTTTTTTCAAGGCATGTCAGTTATGCTGTTAGGAATATGCTGTAAAAGACCAATGGTGGTTTCATGGTTTCAATTCATATGATTTGGAGAAAACATAAAAGATCAGTTCATAAGTTCAAAGCCCTGTCTTTGCTGATAAGGTTTTCTAAAACAGGCTGTGCAGATGATTTATGAATTTACCAGTTTAGAAGTGAATTGGGTATTCAAAAGTAAAATTTGGTAGCAGCTGTAGGAGAATGCATGAGAGGGTGAAGATACATATGGGGACTACACATCTGTAAATGGATGAACCAAGAAGGAAAGGGAGCATTTAACTTTGGCAAGCTGAGTAGCTTAGATCTTCCTTCCAGCTGATATTTTTGACCTGATTTTGCAATAGTGCAACAGATTTCCTGGTCCCTGGAGCTCTCAGCCTTCTATCTGACCTCTGTATTGTAAGTTATGACTGCTTGCAAAGGATTGAAGCCAAAAGTTTCTGTCCACATCACTGGCTGTGAAAACACAGGGACTTCTGTCTGGGTGTAGATACTTAGTTTTGGAAAGGCACGATAGAACTTTTTGTTCATCTTGCTGCATGTTCTTCCACACACACAAACACAGAGGGGAAAAACCCAAAGCCCCAGTCATGCTATACTTCTCTTGTATCTTTCATGTAACCATAGAAAGCAGCCTGTAAATATTGAAGCTTCACAGCAGCAAAGCCATTAAACCCAGTAGGTAATCAGAAAGCTGGAATAACTGTCAGCTGGCTGGCTGTAAGGTCAGGGAGGGCTCAGGAGGTCTAAGTTCCAGTTCTTTAAGCCCTAAGCCACAAACAAGAAGTTAGCCAGGAATTCATGATCAACATTTGTAGTAACTAAACTTGATTATACCTTTCTTTAAACCCATGAAATGTGTTTGCTTTTTAATATCTTAGTGCTGTTTTAAGAAAATGATGTTGCTCATGGACCCTAAAACTTAGAATGAATTGACACATGAATAAATATATATTAATTCTTTTTTATTAAAGTATCAAAACAAACTTGAAAATAGAAAACAAACTGCTTTTAATGTATTTTAAGGTTTGTCCTGCGTGAAGTATACTCTTAGAAATCTCATGCAACATGCTGTTCCTGTCTAGTTGCTTAAACACTCTTTTCCTGGGCACAGTCGAAGGAACTTGAGTACCATCATTTCTAGAGTAGCGTGCAGGAGCACACATGCACACACATACAAAAGCAGTAGAAAGCAGCTCTGACTGCACATACAAAGAAATAAAAATAGATTATCTACTGACAATAGTAGTGGTACCATATTAACATTTGGGATGCTAAGTGAATAACATCAAGCAACAAAAGCATGACGCCTGCGTCACTAGTGATATGGTTAAAAGCAACCATACAAATTCCCTAAGGGAGACACATGAATTCTGTCATTATACTCTAGTCTCTGTGGTAACACTTTATAACAGTATAGGAGGCAAACAGTTTTGTCTGCTGGTATTTGCCCAAAAGGCAAAGACAAGGCATACAATACTGGGATGGTGCCTTGGTTTTGTATTTCCACATTACATAAGTCAAATACCAGTGAACATTGACAAGTTTATTGTAACACGCTTCATGTGTATCTGTTGTCTGATAAATAGCTGGCCCAACTCCTGTGCAACTTGCCCTCTGAGCCAGAGAGGTTGCAGCAGAGGCTCTAAACTCTGCTTACAGGATGTCAATAAAACTCTCATTGAAGTCAATGGAAGCTCCTTCCAACATACAGAAAGATAATGGATTTTCAGGACAGAATCAGACCTCACATGTCATCTTTAATACATTAACTGTTCAGATACATGAAGTACATATTTTTAAAATGCAATATAGGACATTACAATATATCCAGATCTTAGGAAAATGTACTAAGAAGTTCTGTTGCAGAATATAACAATCATATAAGGATCAGGTATGATATCCAATAGACTCATCCAGGACTTGCAGGTAAAATGCTTATGGCCGAGGTATCTTTAAGCTTAGCCTTTAGAACAAAACCACAGTTTTGACACTGCATAACTGGTGTAAAATATCATGTACTGTAAGGTCCATTCTTATTGTCTGCTTTGTCCAAATGGTGACATTGCACAGCTAGACACCACTGATGGAGGTACAGAACTTTGGGAAGTATAATGTCTGCACCCACTCTGTGCCTCATCTGTGGAAAAGATGAAGGATAAGTGTTTTCAATAGTTGTGTCTCAACTATAACTGGTGAAGTTTAGGAATATATAATATTAAACACCAAGAGATACAAGTAAAAAGACAGCACAACACTTGTGTTTTCAGTTTTATCTTGCTCGCAGTATTTATTAACTCTACCCATTATGATAGTGATAAATAAGGATAATATTTTCTTTTACAAAAAACTGTAAGGATATATTTTATAGGATTAAACAATCTGAGAATTTCACAGAAACATCAGAATTCAAACACTTGTAGCTCCAACTGTTTTGTCCAGCATCTCTTCTACCAGTTCAAAAACATCCAAGGTTAGTATTTGATTAAAAAATAAAACCAGTTATTAACTACATCAAAACTCTCTCCTCCTTTAGGTTCTAAGTAACGCTTTTGATTGATTGACTGTAGTTGCCACTCAAATACTAAATAAAAGTAGCTGCAATCAATTTTCCCCACTGAATCGCCTGGCAGAAGGAAGTAATCCTGACCTGGATGGAAAAAGCTTTGTCAAGCTCTTATGCTTATAAGAACTATCTTGTAAACAGACCCACTGCAGTCCATGGAACTTCTTCTGTGAGTGAGGGTTAATAGCATGAATTAAGGCTTGCAGGGTTTGATCCTAGATTATCTTATTTCTTTGAACTCTTCATTATTCATGAGCCTGGTATTCAGTCCTGCAGTTCTTTATTCAGGCCAAACCTGTATCAATATCCCTCCATAGTTAGTTTCCTCTTTCCAGTGGGTCCAATCCACCAAGTGGTGGTACAAGATGCTTTTCAGCAATTCAAGGAAAAATCATAGTCCCCAAAGGATAGTAAGTGGGGTTCCAGCTCATAAAATACAAGGTATGGATATTTTGCAAGGAACATCTTTGTCACACCCACAAGGCTCTTTAGATTCAGTCTTTGAGATGAGTCACAGAAAAAACCCACACAAGTGTTGTGGAAAAAAATTACAAAGCTTAGTTGGAACTAAAGGCTTTTTGTGTGTCTTTGTGTGTGTGTGCGTGTGTGTGTTAGGTTAGAATGCAACATTACATTTCAGTACATGAAACCATCCTCCTGGAAACTAAAAATACTCTCAGTCCACCTTCCTTACTAGCCACAAGGAGAAGTAGTGTCCATCCAGCACAGCTGTCTGTACCACGTGCATCTTCGGAAGTCATAGTGTTCTAGCACAAACGTTGTGAGTGCAGATACTGTATACTAGCAGAGAGCTAAAACTTCTGAAGCTGTTGTCTGTAGCTCCTAGGAACAGCAAGTATGCCAGGTGCAAAACCTATATTTGAGGCAGAAGACTCTTCAATTTGATTGAGACCAGATCTTCCAAGGGGAAGAATCGCTGTCAAGCCAAAATGATCCTTCCTGCTTAAAGCAATCTGCCCTTCCTAAAGGCTCTTGACTAATAGAATCCTACACGTTATGTCAGATCCTCCATGGATTCTGGTAGTTGTTAAAAACCACTATAAATATTTCCATAGTTGCTGTATCACTTAACCTTGTAATGTGCCTTCTTTGATCTGTTGAATAAAAAGATTCCTTTCATCTTCAGGTGTCCTTCCGTTTTGTGCCCGAACTATACAAGTGGGCCTGTGAAGATTTAACATGTATATCAAATGCTGCTTCTCGTTCTTTAGCTCTTCGATCTGGGCTTTTAATTCTGCATTGATAGTTTCCAGCTTTTCTGATTCCTAGTCACAAAGGACACACACAACTATTAGACCAAGTAGTTCAAACAGTTAATTGCAACATTTATCTTATAGTTGTGGTCTTTTATTGGTGGGAAAACATATGGCTAGCAAAGAAAGAAACTGCACGTTCTTAGTACCCTGTAATGTTTAAACTGTATATTCCCTAGTCAATAGTAGTCTAAAAAACAGATTGATAGCTACCTATTTTGGCCTTTAGAGAAGTTGAAAAGCTAAACGATTTGTATTCACTTACAAGGGCAGATATCCAAAGCATTATTATCCTGCCACATTATTCTGTGCTTTTTGAGCCAAAAAGTGTCTCCAAGATATCTACACTTATTAACTCCCTAGAAAATCATGTCATGTATCTGTAAAACCATGTTAAACTAACAAAGTAAGGACACAACCTTTTTTCCCCTACCACTAGATAACGGAATAAAGACAGGCCTGCTGCTGCTGTAATAGAGTTGCTTATCGTGGCAGAGCAGGTCAAGACACGACTGTGGTCCTAGGACAGAGAATTCGGGGGTACAAGCTATTATGCAACTCATTTCATAAGGAAGTTCGAAATTATTTGTTGTTATTTGTAGGCATTTGGTCTCTGTTGTGGTTTAAGCATGGTTTAAGCACAAAGAATATTATATGAAATGATATTTTACTACTTCCTGCGGTCAGCGTACGCTTTCAGGCTAATATTATCCCCATAGATAAGACTGGTTACTGAAACAGTAATCTCTTCACTCCTACCGAGCTTTCTCTTTATCCCAGTTTTAACCAGGTTTGGTTTTAATATATAGCATGTTCATTCTTCTTAACTAATGTCTTGAAGGGTTTACAGAGTTTTGGGTAACATCTTTCTCCATTTCCTACTACGACAGTACCCCATGTTATCTGTTTGGATCCTGGCAGGATTGCAGACTAAGAACAACTCAAGCCAGCCACTTACTTTCTGCAAACATTCTGTTTTCTCCTTCTTTTTGTTTCGGCACTTTGCAGCAGCAATTTTATTCCTTTCCCTTCTTCTCTTTTTTCTTTCATCCTCTTCAGGGGAAAACTATCCCACAAAAACAGACACACACAATCCATAAAGTGTAATAAATACATGACTTGTAGTTTGATAACTTCCACACTTCTAAAAGCAACCTAGATAGTGGTGTCAGTGCTCATATCAGGAGTTACACAAGAATGTGATTCTGACCTCGTTTGCCATACAGTAAAATGGCAGTGACTCCATTAGAATTGTCAATAAAAACCTGAGCGGAATCTGCATGGATGCAATCCATGTGATGGCTCCTTTTAAATCAATGGTGCTCAGAAACCTTGCTGAGTGTCTCCCCAGGCTGACTCCCACACCTCCATTTCTCCTTCATTTCCCAAGGAGCAAAAGGAGTTGACGAGCACAGGGAGCAGAGTGGAGCGTGTGTCATGAATGAGGCAGCGAACTAAAGGCAGCAGTAAAACGAGGGTATTACACTCCTTCGGGCTTTGGTTTGTTTCCTGTGGAGGCTGAGACAAATAGCGTAGCTATTTTCCTAACTTAACCTATTTCTCCGTGTTACAAGAGAAGTGTTTTTCACAGAGCCTATTATCTCAAAGTAAAAACTTATCATGGACACAGCATGGCTGTGCCTACTATAGTGTAACCCACACGGGTCCTACTGGACTGTCCTCAGTGAGATGAAACTTCAGCAGTGATTTATTGCAAGTTCAGCCAGAAGTAAGCAGGGAAACCAGGTTAGTACTTGCTCTAATCACTGTATAACATTGCCCTTAGTCCACAGTCAAAAATAAAATACCTGACTCTAGGCCTCAATGGAAATGAGAAATACCAGAGAGCTTCCCAGAAGCACATGACAGACAGCCAAGCAGGCAGTTTAGAAGAATCAAGTATGGTGGAGAGGGTTGTCTGTAGTTGATAATAATTACCGGTCTTGTTGTGAAACTTAATTAGAGAGTTAATAATTCCCACTGAAATGCTATGTAAAGAGCCATACCTCTGTTTTCATGATTGATGTTTCAATTGGCCTTTCAGAAACTGTCACCGTGTCCAATGTAGAAGACATCCTGTGGGACTGACGCTTATTCTGGATGGTGAACCTCAGTTCCTCTTTCACCAGTGGGGTTAAATTTGTGAAATCATCAAACCCCAGTGACCCTGCGGGGGACAAAGTGGGAACAATTGCGGAGGCGCTGACTTCTAATGCAGATACCTGGCCTGAGTGTTGGACCATCATTTTGCTGAAAGGTAAAAAGAGATAATAATCTTTCAACCACTTTAGAAAGGCAAATTGTATCTCCTAGACATACAGTTCATACGACGAATAATACCCTGTTTCTTGAATTGCTTCAGTCCCAATTCCCTTTCTTCCCTAACCTCTCACTACAGACAAGAAGTTAAGAATATGGTCGCTAGTAAAAACTTCTATTTTATGTTAACTTAGAGTTAGTCTTTAAAAATCATGATAGTATTAGCACACCAGAATTTCTAAGTCTTTCTGAAAGTTAATATAGAAAAAAAATAGTGTGTATGTATACACATATAAGTAGTGTATGTATACTGTGAGGTTTTAAATTGGTAATATGGCAAATGAGAATCAAGTGAATAGGAAGAAAGCAAAGAAATACTTATATTATTATAATTATTAGAACAGAAGGAGCTTAAGAGTATCTCCATCCTCAGAACTATACCACCACAGATTCCAGCTTCAAATGGACAGAGCACACCTTAATCTCGGTTACATTTAGGCAAAGCTCAACAAGTTCTACTGGAAGCTGAAGTTTGCTAACCAAGACAGGACCTGTCACAAAATTATCATGTTTAGTCTTACCCAGAGCTTAGATCTGGTTATAAACTCCTGAAAAGTAGTTATTAATAAGAGCTGGCACAAAGGCAAAGTCTGTACATGCTCTGGGGCTTCAAAGCGCAGGCTGAGCTGGAGGGGTTGAGTCATGAACAACGTGAAGCCGTTTGTTTCATTCCTTTGCTCTTGTAAAATCTGAAACTGCCCTCATGGACCCCCAGCAAGAGGTAAGAAATGCTTAAATACGTGTGGCCAGATCTTCTGCTCATATGAAGCAGTGTGACTGGAGACACTTCAGGGAAACTACGCAAATGGACACCTGTGGAGGAACCTCATTTCTAGTAGTTTCCCTGAGAAAGTGAACCTACCCAACAGTGCTCTCTATTTTCCTCTTTTTAGTCATTCTCATTAAGTTTTTAGCCAGTTTTGGAGGGAGAGAGGCCCCCTATGTGCTTTGTGAAAAGAGGTGACCTCACTGAGAGAGAAAGAGGCAAAACTCAGTAGTCAGCCATCCAAATGCCACAGGCAACCCAGCAAGACAGCTCTGTGTGGCACAAACCATCTCTCACCCAGAACAGGAGAGTTCTGAGGTCTGGAAGAAAGCTGAGCACTTTTTGTTGGTGGCCCAAGGGACAAAAGGTGCAAATCCACATGCAAGAAGATTGTGTTACTTCCCTTATTTATAAAGTACTTTGTCTTAAATTGGATTTTACCACATCAGTTTTCTAGCTTTCTTTAGGTTTGGGGTTGTTTTGTGGGTTTTTTCAATAGCTGCGTGGGTAATGGCGGTATGTGTTACCTACTCTTGATTAGAACTGCAATAATTATAGCCAAGTCAATTGTAATTAACTTAGTGCAGGTAAGCAAAGAGTTGCCTCGGGGTAGCAGTGTGGATAAGCTAAACTTCCACGTGGTCAACCCAGAATTGCACAGTTCCCTGTATGCTACTTCTGTAACCCAGCAAGAAATGTCTGGGGTCATGTGCCTTGACAAGAAGATAGATTTTGCTCAGAGATATCTAAAAATACACTGTAAATCCATACTGGTGCAATTGAGAATAGAATCTGGTTCATCACTAAGGGGGGTAAATATGAAAATCCGAGAACAGTTGGAACTGCCAGTTGGTAGGACATATCCTGTCCAGCCACAGAGTCTTCCTCACCCAGTCACCATGAACTGAACATTTCTCAGAGTCTGGAGGTAAAACCCTGAATGCACTGAAACCGAGAGGACTTTTTCTGTTGACCTCAGTAAGGCCAGGGTTTCACCCGTGGTTATTGAAGATGAGGAAATTATTTGGAACAATTTGTTATTCAGAAAGACCTTGGGAAATTTATGTAATTCTCTTGAGAAAACCCCTGCTCATGAGTCACATTTAAAGTACTGATAGGGTTTAATCCTATAATCTCAGAAAGCTAACAGAACAAGTTAGAAATGGCCCTATAATTTCCAGCTGAAGTCCTCCCAGCATTACCTACCATTTGTGACATTCAACTGTTCAACTCATTTAAACAGGGTAATTCCAGATGGCACCAAACCCCTCACTGCTAGCAGAAATTTCAGCTATTTTCACTAAATCTGTCTCTTTGGCTTCCAGTGATGGCTTCATTCAACAAAGAGAATTCTGTATAACTCCATCAAACTAGGAGTCTTTAAATAATGGTTAAACTCTTTGTCCAGCCTACAGAATAATTAATTGGGCTAATAATTTTCAAGCTCTGGTGGTTTATTCAATTACTTTTCAGTTTAGGTGAACTTTTAGTTAAGGTCAGCTATAGCACCAGAGGAAACCAGGGACGTTTGTGCCTGAGAAATTCTGTTCACTGTGGATTTTTACTAGTTAGTACTAGTGTACCACGAGCACCACCAAAAATATAATGTATTCTCATCCGTCTTTCACTAGTATAAAAAAGAAAAAGGAGTAGTAGTTGCCCATGGGGAGACGAAGGTGTCCTTGACCATAGAAACATGCTGTTCTCCTGTTTGGACAGCTCACTGACCTTCCAGACACCCTGAAAGGCATCTCTTATTTACTCAGACTTTAGGGAAGGCCTACAGGGGGGCTGAGGCTTGTGTAAGGATTTCTGCTGTGAGCAGAGTCCCATTTAGCAGAGCTCTTTGCCGCTGGTTTGTGTTCCTGGGGCTCTTCCTTGGGCCAGGGCTTCTGGAGAGCCCCTCATAGGGTCAGCTTCCAATATACCACTGGGATTGTTAAGAGCCACTGTGATAAAAATAATCAGCTCTATGTCAAAGCTACTCAGTAAGCTGAATAGATTCCCTATTCGTAACAATTATAGAAATGTTTTACAAGAAAAAATCAGATTTTGCCATTTTAAGAACTGCAACAAGTTGCACTTCCTTTTTCCCAATTTTTGTACAAACTTTAGCTCTGTCTATAAGCAATCAAGAGCACTCTGTCATCTTCCCTGGGTTTGTAAAGGCTGGGGAAACAGTAGGAATAAGAATATCAAGCCTTAAAGTGCAGTTACATCTGGACCTGCCTGACGGGATCTCTGTTTACTTGGTCAGACCATGCACATGGACCTGGGCTCGAGGCTGCTTCAAGCACTTCTGAAGTTACTGACACTGGAGGTGCTGAACATTTCACAGTCCTGTACCATAAAGGTACAGCTTGTCCCCAAGGTGAGTTAATGCTTCCTTACTTTATCCTCAGTTTTGGAATTCTCCAAAAGTAACACCTTTTTTATTAATGATGCCCTCCCAATTCAGGTAGATTCAAACAACTTGATTCATTTGCTCTTTCCCAGCTGATTCTTTCCATCTGCAGTGAACTTTTAAATCTCATCTGTCAGTATGTTAATTTCAGGATTTTCTTCCTAGCTGTGCATTTCTATTGTTTAAGGATATTCTTCTTTAATATTTAGAAGTGATTGCTTTCAGTCTTTTCTTTTTGTTTAACTGCAAAGTCAGGCTGACTTTGCAGTTAAGACTATGCATTAAGTCCACGGTCTGACTATGTCTCTTGGTTTTATTTCTTCATATGAATTCCTTCTCCTCTGGTGCTGATGCAATAAACCCCGATAACCATTGAGGTTAATCTTAAACAGCATTAAGAACAATTACAGCTCACAACCTCTGTGCACACTGGTTGACCTTAAGCTTTCTGACATCCCACATCATTCCTCAACCTCATAACAGCTTCTCAAATGCTGTTACGAGGAGGAATATTGATTTCCAACAGGAAACTCGTTCTCTGAAACAAGTTTGCTGTTGTGTCACGGCTGACTCGATTAGGCAACAGTTTAGCAACTGATCTTCTACATGTCAAGGCGCGGGAACAAAAAGGAAAGTGAATGTCCCTGGCTCACGGCGAGAGCCCCCGCTCGGGTTCGGGGTGTGACAGATCGATGTACCCGCGGCGGTGCTGGGGGTTCCTACCGCCCGGCCAGCCCCGGACCCTGCGGATGGCGGTGCC